GAAGAAAGGAGAAAGGCAAGGTGAAATGATTTCAGAAAGTATTTTTAAGGGGTATCATGTGTTCTGTGATACTATTTGATAACTCCTAATATTTTATTGTAGAACGTTCCCATTTTGGTAATTTTTTTTTTTTCTGTTTTGTAGCTTTGTTGGCCCTCTTCTCTTCTCTTCTTGCCTTTCTTTGTGTTTCATTGATTTTTTTTTTTTTTTTTTTTACTATTGTGCTTAGATCCCCCTTTTTGTCCCCTAGGTATTTTCTTTTCCTTTTTTTGGAGAGGTTTTTTGCTATAGGGCACGTGTGCTCGCCAGAAAGACAGCCAGAAAGCGAGAAATCACCTCCCCAGGGGAGATGGCCATGCAGCAATCCCTTCTCCTCCATTCTCCTCTTGGGATCTTGGGCACAGATGCACACGCGCCTGGCATGAGTTTAAGCCACCGGGTCCCAGACTCGAACCTCGAACCACGGTCGACTACATGGGAGTCCAGTGACATAACCATTATGCCAACTGCTGGTCCCCCCTAGGTATTTTCTCTGTGGATACCAGGGAGGGGGCTTATATAAAACAGCCTCTAGTTGTAGCAATCTGTTTTAAGCTGATGACAACTTAACTTAAACTGCATGTAAAAACATTACTCTTCTACTCCCTCCCCTCCACTGTGTGCTATTGATGTCACAACTTTTGTTTTGAACATTTGCATATTGGTCTGTCTAATATTTAGATCCCTTTATATTGTGTATTCATGAAACTATTTTAATAGTTATAGTTACTCTTGTCTTTTAAGTCCTATAGCAGAATTCAAAGGGATTGCATATCACCATTACAGTAATACATATTATGTATCTGTATTTGTCTAGGTATTTACCTTTACCAGGAGCTTTATATTTTTGAGTGCTTTTGTGTTGCTGTCTAGCAACATTTCAAGTTGAAGAACTCCCTTTAGCATTTCTTGTAAGGAAGGTCTAGTTGTGATGAGCTACCTCAGCTTTTTTCAACAAACATTTGTTTATCTGAGAAAGTCTTTTTTTTTCTCTTTCATTCTTTTTTTTTTGGCTATAGGGCATGCACACTCACCAGAAAGAGAGATACAGAGAGACAGAAAGCGAGAAATTGCCCCCAGGGAGATGGCCACACTGCATTCTGTTCTCCTCCATTCTCCTCTTGGGATCTTGATATAGGTTTACACTTAGGATGGACTTCTTTTTCTGATGGCAGTGGTTTAGAGAAATTTTAGGCCTGCTGCTTGCTCCCCTCTCCTTTCTTTTTTTATTTTTTGGAGAGGTTTTTGCTATAGGGCGTGTACGCTCGCCAGACAGACAGAGACAGACAGGGAGACAGAAAGCGAGAAATCACCCCCCAGGGGGGATGGTCACGCTGCAATCCCTTCTCCTCCATTCTCCTCTCGGGATCTTGGGCACACACGCACACGCGCCCGGCGTGAGTTCAAGCCACCAGGTCCGGGACTCGAACCGCGGTCGACTATGTGGGAGTCCAGCGACATAGTCATTATGCTAACTGCTGGTTCCCATCCCTGTCCTTTCTTCATTACAGTTTTCCTTCCTCATGACAAAGTCTATCAAGGTTAGAGTTTGTTTGTTGAGATTTGGTATTATTTTCTCTTTATCTTATTAAAATTGGGTCAGTGGAAAAGTCATGATGTATTTTTTCTCACATTTTTCTGTGCAAAAATGCATTATGACTTTTCTGACAACCCAATAGTTGTTTTAAAGTTTGGTTATATCCTTCTTTCTAGTTATGCATATTTAGAAGGCATATTTTTTGCCTAGTGGCTTAATTTGTTCTCCATAGTGTTCTATATTGTGTTTGAGAGATCTGTGGGAAATATAGAAATGGCACCTTGTCTTTGGGTACCTGGATGTCTACTCGAACATTTGTGTTTTGGTCTAACAATTCCCTCCAGTGTCTGGTACCCATTATATTTGACAATCCGCCCAAAGTTTTAATATCATATTCCATCACAGGTATTTCTGTTATCATGTAGAAAGATCGTGAGTAGGAATACATTGAAGAAAGGAGAAAGGCAAGGTGAAATGATTTCAGAAAGTATTTTTAAGGGGTATCATGTGTTCTGTGATACTATTTGATAACTCCTAATATTTTATTGTAGAACTCTTGAATATTACTTTTTTTCTGAACGTTTACTTCTTTCTTCTATGAGTTGGAGAGAGAGAGAGAGAGAGAGAGAGAGAGATAGAGGGGCACCCCCAGCCTTGCCCTCATTCTGTGATCCACTTGCAGCTCAGCCGGCCCCAGGACGTGGGCTCATGTCGTGCCATGTACGTCTCTGCCCGTGAACCTGGGACCCTCCACAGGGGCCGGCCTCACAGTACTGCATCACTACTGCATCACCGTGCGGCCCCTACATTGATTTTTTAATCGGTTCAGCTTAATTTTCTCTGTATCCTGAGCACTGAAATATATGTGGGTCATTAGAACTATCAATAAGCGGGACCAGCAGTTAGCGTAATGGCTATGTCGCTGGACTCTTATGTAGTCGACCGCGGTTCGAGTCCTGGACCTGGTGGCTTAAAATCACAACGGGCGCGTGTACGTGCGTGCCCAAGATCCCAAGAGGAGAATGGAGGAGAGGGGATTGTGATGTGGTCATCGCCCTCTGGGAGGTGATTTCTCACTTTCTATCTCTCTATCTCTCTCTGTCTGGTGAGCGCTCGTGCCCTATAGCAAAAACCTCTCCAAAAGAAAAAAAAAAAAAACGAAAACTATCAATAAGCTGGAGTAAAATGTAATAGTTTATTTGGAGTGAATTTGGTATTTCAGAGATGGGGGAATTCAAGCTGTAATATCCTTAACACCTGGAAATTTTATTACTACAAACTGTTGTTTGTGACATTCACTTATTCGTAAGATTGACGAGACACGCTCATGTATTTATTAAAATGCACATGTGTGTCATGCACTGTTATCTATATTGTTTTAACTTTATTTACTTATTTATTTTAATCTGATTAGAGAGACAGAGCGAGAATGAGAGCGAGAGAGAGAGAAAGAAAGTGAGGAAGCCACCAGGTCCTGTGCCCTTCCCTGCCGTCCCCATTTCATTTATATTGTAACTGACTCTCTCCACAACCCTAAAGATAGCAGTTATAATCCTATTATACAGAGGGGCAGGAGAGGGTCGTAGAGGTTAAGCAGTTTATCAAGGTCATAGTGCAAGTCAGTGGCGGCACAGAAGACAGTCCCCAGTTTCTCTGTCCCGAGTATCAATCTCATTGTCACAGTTCCTCTTGACAGATAGGCAGAGCTGTTCTCATTACTTTGCCTAGTGCAAACTGAAGCCAGTTCTTTTCTTTTTTTTCAGTTTTGCTGTAGGGCACATGTACTCCCCAGAAAGAGACACAGAGAGAGAGAGAGAGAGAGAGGGAAAGTGAGAAACACCTCCCCTGCCTTGGGGAACGGTCATACCATGAAACCTTCTCCTCTATTCTCATCTTGGGATTCTGGGTACACACGCTCATGTGCCTGGCATGTTTCTCAAGCTGCCTTGTCCAGTACTCAAACTGCATAGTAGGCCATGTAGGATTCAGTTGTCTTAACCAGTGGCCTGCTAAAGCCACTTCCTGGCCTTGAAATTGACTGCATTCTCGCGACCGTTGGGACTGAGTCCTCGACTTGACAATACTAGTGCCTGCTGCACTGGAGATCACGTGCAGCAAGATGCCAGTAGACCGCTCAGTACTGCCACTTGGAGAAGACAGATTGCACACAGACTTAGGGGATTTGAGTGGAGGAGCTGGGAGGCAGCTGAGCTCTGATAAAGGAGGATCCAGACCTGTCATCTGTCATGCAGGGGCTGCCTTGGCAGTTGCTCATGCAGGGAGAGGCTGCCCCAGGCCTGACTGTGAGTGAGGCTTCCCTGGTCCCCTGAATCTGTCTTTCAGCCTTAGACTTTCATTCACCCCCGTGTGAATATGGCCCTGCTTTACCTGGAACGCTTATCTCCGACTTTGTTCAGGTCCAAGATCAGTTTCCCCAATGACAGTCAGACATCCAGTGTAGGGATTGTTAGCAAATTATTTTATGTACAAGCAAAATGATCAGTATTCACAAATGGTGTTTTAATAGGAACCTTGAGAATTTGCTGATTATGTGAATTAATGAGCGTCGAATGAGGGAGCAGTGTGACACAACCGTTTGTTTTGGCTCTGGAAAGAATTCTCTGTGACATCGTTTAAGATACTAAGTCAACATGGCCACTTGCGCAGTTAGTCACTTGGCAGCTAGAAGGACACATGTGTCTTTAGGTGAATTTTCTTTACAGCGAGACTGTGAGCTCATAGCTCGCTCAGTCCCTCATGGCCTCAATGACTTATAACGCTGCTGGAACTTAGCTTTGTTTCCTGGGCCAAGGCATCCCTGTAGAGCACATCTTTCACATTGCACATGTGAAGTTTTTGGAAGGATGGTTGTATAATTTGCTACATTTTAATGTACGATTTGTTCTTCTAAACCTTTTCCAGGGGAAAAAACATATATTTTTTGGAGAGGCTTTTGCTACAGGGCGTGTGCGCTCTCCAGAAAGACAGAGAAAGACAGAGACAAAAAGTGAGAAATCACCCCCCAGGGGGGATGGTCACACCGCAATCCCTTCTCCTCCATTCTCCTCTCGGGATCTTGGGCACGCACGCACACGCGCCCGGCGTGAGTTTAAGCCACCGTGGTCGACTACATGGGAATCCAGCTACATAGCCATTATGCTATCTGCCGATCCCTCCAGGAAAATATTTAATAGCCAGTGTTGCTTATCTAAACCTCTCTAGCGGTCAGACTCTCAGTTTCCTAATCTGTAAAACGGCAGATATTGGACTATATGACCTCAAAGGGCCTATTCAGATCTCCACTCTATTTACCTGTGTGCAATGTGGCCACACCAGTGCACACAGGTAAACAGCCTCTTTGCTTGTAACATCAGGTATGGGAGCTTGGGCCATGTCACACCCTTCTTCTGCTCTTCCCTTTCAGGTGTGTGCATGGGCAGCTCTACGCGACACATCGTGACCTTCGATGGGCAGAATTTCAAGCTGACTGGCAGCTGTTCCTATGTCCTGTTTCACAACAAGGAGCAGGACCTGGAGGTGATTCTTCATAAAGGAGCCTGCAGCCCTGGGGCGAGGCAGACCTGCATGAAATCCATTGAGGTGAAGCATGATGGCCTGTCAGTGGAGCTGCACAGCAACATGGAGGTGAGAGGTGCTTTCCGTGGCCCTTGCAAAGGAAGCGGCAGGACTCAGAAGCCACGTGGACCCAGTGGCAGTTGATTTTAGTGGCAGCTGATTCTCTCATGTTAGGATCTCTGCCCTTTTAAAAAGTTATTTATTTTTTAGTTTTTTATACATTCAATCACTGTATATCATTACAGCTTACAAAATTAATTTTCCCAACATGAATATATTATATATTAGTCCAGCTAAAGATACTGTCATACAAGCTATCATCAACAGATCATTTTCCGTTTTGTTCCCCTCAAATATTGTGATTGTCTCTTTTTGCCTGGCTTGGAGAACGCTACTTTGCTTTCTTGCCATCTCCCTTGTCTCGTTGCGATTTTATCTTCTTTGGGTCCATATTTGTAAGACAGAGTCATTTTTTTCTTCTTTTTTATTATTTCCATTTTTATTTTTTTCTCTTTAAGTCTTAGTGTAATTTATGATTTACATATAATCATAATATAGCTTTGTAGGGTACAGAATGGTTTTAAAAACATGGATACCATATGTAATAAATAAATCGAGTATATAAACATATTCACCACCTTCAACATTTAATATTATATTATGTTGTAAACATATAAAACCCACTCCAATGGTTATTTTGCAAGTAGTATGCACTGGATTGTCTATGATGTTCTTTTTCTTTTCTTTTCGTAGAGAGATGTTTGCTATAGGGTGCATGTGCTTGCTGAATGGACAGGGACAGACAGAGACAGAAAGCGACAAATCAGCCCCTTGGGGGGGGGGTGGCCATGCCGCAATCCCTTCTCCTCCATTCTCCTCTTGGGCTCTTGGGCACACATGCATAGGTGCCCGGCGTGAGTTTTAAGCCGCCCGGGTCTGCGATTTGAACCATGGTTGACTACATGGGAGTCCAGCAACATAACCATTATGCCATCTGCTGGTCCCATGTCTATGGTGTTCTTTACTGTGAGATACAGTTCTTAAGAAAAACATATTGGTTAAAAATCAGGCAACAAACGATCTTATAAATTAACAAAGATAATCTTAACATAGCTGATGAAAGAAAAACTTGCAATTTCCACATAGAAGACTGTGGGAGATAGGATTTATTTATTTGAAGAGGTTTTTGCTATAGGGCATGTGCACTCATGAGAAAGACAGAGAGAGACAGAGAGACAGAGAATGAGAAATCACCCCCGGGGGGATTGTGGCCATGCCACAATCCCTTCTCTTCCATTCTCCTCTCAGGATCTTGGGCACGCATGTACATGTGCCTGGCATGAGTTTAAGTCACCGGGTCTAGGACTCAAACCACAGTTGACTGCATGGGAGCCCAGCAACATAGCCATTGTGCTAACTGCTGGTCCCCATAGGATTTATAATTTGAGAATAACATCTGTGAGTAGCAATCATTGGCATAGTTAGAGATAGGTAACAATATCTCATTGCGAAGAGATAGAAAAAGAACACTTTTACTCACACACTGTGAGTTCTTATAAGACCATAGTACTGTACTGTGCATAAAGAAGTAATTCTCAAAAAAGCAAAAATAAAACAAAATTGGAAAGAGATGCTTAAAAGTGAAGACATGGTGGGCGAGCAGGTGATATGGTGGTTGAGGTGTTGGACTCCCACATGGCCAACCATGGTTTGAGTCCTGGATCGGTGGCTTGCTTTATCACTCTCTCTCTGTCTCTTAATCTCTCTCTCCCATTCTGGTGAGAGCATGTGCCCTGTAGCAAATTTTAAAAAATGATAAATAAAAAAAGTAAATGGTTATTTTTTTTAAAAAGTAAAGACATGGCAAAGCCAGTGATTTGATGATTTCTAGACTTTACAGAGTTCTTGATTTTAGGGAACCAGCAGTTAGCGTAATGACTATGTCGCTGGACTCCCACGTAGTCAACCGTGGTTCGCCTCCTGGACCCGGTGGCTTAAAACTCACGCCGGGCGCATGTGCGTGTGTGCGTGCCCAAGATCCTGAGAGGAGAATGAAGGAGAAGGGATTGCGGTCTGGCCGTCCACCCTGGGGGGTGATTTCTCGCTTTCTGGCTCTATGTCTTTCTCTGTCTGTCTGGCGAGCGCACACGCCCTATAGCGAAAATTTCTCCAAAAAAAAAAAAAAAAAGTTCTTGATTTTAGCCTTTTTTGGAATTCATTCCAAGGAAAGACTCAGTGTAATAGTTTGGATTTTTCTTCTATTATCTAGTTTTATACGATGAATAATGGTTATAATAAATATATAAATTTAAACCTGTGGGGACAATTGTTTATCAACTAATTGGTGGATTTGTAATTAAATCTAGTTGTGTGTAAGATAGTCGAATCTGCGTTAATTTGTTCCTGACATTCGATGTTATCAGTATGTATGGATTTACACTTTTTTCCCTAGTTGTTTTGTATTCTCTTACTTATATTTGTCTCCCTGGTATAATAGTCCCTTAAGTATTTCCTGAAGAACCAGTTTCATTTTGGTGAATTCTTTCAGCATTTGTTTATCTGGGAATGATTTATTTTCTCCTTCCCATTTGAAGGATAGTTTTTCTGGGTATAGTACTCTTGGCTAAAATTGCTTTTCTTTCGGAGTTTTAAATATGTCTTCCCATTCTTTCCTTGGCGACAATGTTTCAGTTGAGAGATTTGATATTAGTCTAATGGGATAATGTTTGTAAGTAACTTGGCATGTCTCTCTTGCCATTTTTAGAATTTTTTCTTTGATTTTTACCCATTTGGCTATAATATACCTTGAAGAAACTCTTCTTATATCTATTTTGTGTCCTTGTGTCTCCTGGATTTTGAAACCTGCATGTCTCTTTAAATTTGGAAAGTTTACAGCTATTATATTATGAATGATGTTTTCTATGCCTTTACCTGTCTCTTCCCTTTCTGAGACACATATTCCGTGGGTATTCAGTTGATTAATGGTGTCTAGGACTTTCCATATTTGTCCTCATTTTTAATGGTTACTCTTCTTTTCAGTTGCTCGGACTAAATCAGAGGTATTGTCTTCAAGGTCAGAGATTCTTTCTTCTGTGTGGTCTGATCTGCTGTCGATATTTTTGAGGGAGGTTTCGATTTCTTGCATCATATTCTTTGTCTCCAGACATTCTACTTGATTCTTTTTTCATTGTGTCTCTTTATGGAGTTCCTCCTTCAAGTCACGAAAGGATTTTCTCATGTTCTGGAATTGGTTATATGTTTTCTCTTGCATCTCATTGAATATTGTTAGAATGAACATTCTGAATTCTTTTTCCAACATTTCTGTGATCTCTTGTGTTTGTGCATTGTTGGTGAGAAGTATCTCCTGATTTTATTCTGTTTCTTGGGACTCTTGATTGTTAGTCATCTGATGGTATACTCACTTTTCCCTACTTCTTAGGAGTGTGTTTCTGTAGCCGTGTGATCCTGTACTTCTCTATGACATACCTAAGCTCTGAGAGGAGTTTCTCTCTTTTTACTGCTAAGGGAGTAATGGCGAAAGAGCTCCTCCAGGGTTTTCTATTTTCAGGGGTTTGATTCTTGTATATCCAAATCTAACTGTTCTCCATGTGGACGGAAGTTGAGCTTTCAGGTGGAATGTAAGAAGGTAGACCACTGTGCACAAGTGCACCATGCGGGCTGGAGAGCCCTCCTCCCCTAGAGCAGGCTGGGCTAGGGTTCTCTGCTGGTGAGCTCAAACGTAGCAGCTTGGCTTGGGTCTTCTTGTTGGTCCTGGAAGGGTGAGGACAGAGTAACACCAGTACACATGGGGCAGTGCAGCTCCTGCCTTCTGTCTCTGGGCTTGCCAGGTCTCCCTGTTGTCCTTCTCTCTCTGGGATTGTAGGAACCAGGTATTGGTTCTTGAAGGCCAGAGAGCCTTCCTCCCCCAGAGCAGGCTGGATGGGGCTCTCTGCTGATGAGCTCAGGTAAGCAGCTTGGCTTGGGCCTGCCTATTGGTCCAGGATGGGTGAGGGACAGAATGGCATCAGCACATGTGGGGTGGCAGCTATTCCCTTCTACCTCTGTGATTGCAGGGTCTTCCTGTTGCTCCTTTCTCTGTGACAGAATCAATGTTGACAGCATTAAATAGTGAAAATTGTGAATTTAGTGCCAGTTTATGGTTCTGGTGAGGAACTGGGGTGGATGCCAGGACAGTCTACCCAGGAAGCATCATGAGCCCAGTGTGTAGGGCCTGTAAGCTTTCCAAAGGGGAGTATTGAGAGCCTAAACAAAACGGATGGCTCCAAAATTTACAAAGAAAGCTGCAAAACTGATAGAAATCAGTGTTTGATTAAATATTTATGAAAGGTTCCATGGTGCCAACTTCTTTACTTGCTCATTTAGACATCATAAATGTTTCATTGCCTGAAAACAACTTGGAGGCTAGATTTTCTCACTCTGCAAGAATTCTTGAATGTGACTAATTGCTGAAAAATCATAGCTAGGCATGTATTAAATGAATAACTCTTAGCCAAAAAATTTGAAAATCGAAATGGTAAAAAAAATTCTTCTAAAATTATTTAGCAAAAATTGTAGTCATGGCAGGGCGTGAATACATTCTAATGTATTCGATCTGATAGGTGGTGGAGCCTCCAATGTAAGAGCTTCTAATGGCAAACACCCACACAGGAACCTTTAGCTGCCCCGTTAGAGACTCCAGGAGACACTGCCCTGATGAACTGGCAAAATGGCGACTTTCCCAGCCTACCTTGAAGGAATAACCCTTCCTTGTTGAGTCACACAGACTCATGGTTCCCTTTGACCCCTAGTGCAGGTGCATGGCTGTCTGTACAGTATCGTAACAGTATTGTTTTCCTGTCGACCTCTCTGTTGAGTCCTGTAAAGCCCCTTTGTTTCAGAGGAGCTACTGACAGCTACCAGGGTTTGTGGCTAACATTGCAGTTGAGTGTGATGTGTATGCAGGGACTCTCATCAGCATCAGTGGGAAAGTAAGAGTGAAGCTCTGGGATTCCTTGTTGCTAGGACTACGAGGAAATTTTGCTTCTTTGGGCAGGTGGCAGTGAATGGGAGAGTGGTCTCTGTCCCTTACACGGGCGGGAACATGGAAGCCAGCGTCTATGGTGCCATCATGCATGAGGTCCGATTCAACCATCTTGGCCATATCTTGACATTCACTCCACAAAATAATGAGTTCCAGCTGCAGCTGAGCCCCAAGACCTTTGCTTCAAAGATGTACGGCCTCTGTGGTAAGAACGCCTTCTCGACTCCCTGCTCCCTTACATTTGGAGACCTTACTTGGAGTACCACTGGGGCTCTCGAGTGCCTATATGTCTGGGACCGGAGCAGAGGCCCAGTGGCAAGATTCAGACCACGTGGGAATAGAGAATGGCCAGTCTCTGAGTCAGTGTGTTGGCCTCCCACATTGTCTTCCCTTGTTTTCCCAGGGATCTGTGATGAGAATGGGGGCAATGACTTCATGCTGAGGGATGGCACAGTCACCACAGACTGGAAAAAGCTTATCCAGGAATGGACTGTGCCACAGCCAGGGCAGACGTGCCAGCCCGTTCCAGAGGAGCAATGTCCTGTCTCTGACGGCTCCGACTGCCAGGTCCTCCTCTCGACTCTGTTTGCTGAGTGCCACAAGGTTGTTGCCCCAGCCACGTTCCATGCCATCTGCCAGCAGGACAGTTGCCACCGGGAACAGGCATGTGAAGTGATCGCCTCTTATGCCCACCTCTGTCGGACCAATGGCGTCTGTGTTGACTGGAGGACAACTGATTTCTGTGGTGAGTCTGCACAAGCACCCCTGAACATCCTGGAGACCAGCTGAGGGTGTGGCTAACGGACATTAAGATCCCTGTATGTCTTATTACCTAGGCTTCTAGTTGGGGTCAAGTAAAATGGTAGACAGAGAAGTACTTCGAACGTAGCATTTCTCTGCAAATTAAAGCACCATCCTTTCTACTGGTATTTCTGTCATTTAGATAACTGTGATTTTAATCCATTAGCTACCTAGAGGTATCAGCAAAGTGTGGTGTAACCCGCCACATTGAATTTGAAATCCCACTGGCTTCAGTGAAGGCTCACAGAGTAGCCATGCCCAAGCAAGACTTTTTGAAGTGTGAGAAGTTTGCTATTTCGTTATCAAGAAGCTTCTTCATTGCAGATGTGACAGGGTTGTGGGTGCAGGTCTCTCTCCCTCAAGGTCAGCTTCCCTGCTCAGACTTGGCATTTTTTTATCATATGAAATGCAGGGGAAATCAGAGTGAACCAGATTTGCTTCCAAGGCCTATTGGAGGGAAAAGAACACTGAACTTGAATACCTGAAATCATCAGATGTAATCCCTGATTTTTTTTTTTTCTTTTTAGCAAAATCATTGTGTGCAAGTATGTTGAAGCCTCGGTCAGAGTTGTCAGCAGCTCTAACCTGGTCCTGGAGAGCTTGGGCATCCAAGTCTCAGCTCACCTGGTGACTGGCTGTTCTCTTAGTCTTTCTTGAACACCCTTTTTGCATCTTAGAATTAGTGAAGTGGGTTAGAGAACCCCATGGGGCCACCTGGTTGTGTGGTAGCTCAGATAGCTGGATCCTACATGGCCAATGGAGTGGTTTGGGTCCCAGACCTGGTGGCTTGAAAAATAAGCCCAATGTGTGCACATGTTTGTGTGCCCAAAATCCTGAGAGGGGACAGTGGAGGAGAAGGGACAGTAGTGTGGCCATTCCCCTGAGGGCTGATTTCTCACTTTCCCTTTCTCTCTGTCTCTCTATGGAGAGTGCACATGCTCTATAGTAAAAACAGAAACACAAACAAACAAATGGAAAAAGAACCACTGTGTTCCTTGGAGTTCTGATTCTCTGAGTCCAACAGTGCTGCCTTCTGCCTGCAGACCGAGGGGTAGATGTTAGTTTCTACGCTACTGAGAGCCCCTTCTCTGCTGACTGATTTCTTGGTGTACCACCTGGCTATTTATTGTGCACACACAGAAACACAGATTTTGGTGTTCCAAACCACTGTGTCCAGCAGTTGAACCTTTGGTTCCAAACCAGAACCTTCCTTGTCTGCCTTGGCACCGAGAGTGAGGAAGTTGTGGAGCGAGGTCCAAGTGGGGGAGTAAATCACCTTGTAGCTTTGCGCCCAAAGCAACTCTTCACAGCTGTGGATCCTTTATTTAATTTCATGAGGACTTTAAAACATTAAAATACATCTGTATTCAAAAGAAAGGACCACAGAACTTGTTAGAGACACACAGGTTTGTAATTAGTTAGGGTTAGATTTGGCTACAAGTAGTGGAAAATTCTGTTAGAAAGGTTGTCAGAAGGAGGTACTTGCAGCTCATTGGGACCTCAGACTGAATTCCAGTGCTACACTCTGTTCTCACTTGGGTATTTTCTTTTTCTTCATGGTTTAAGAGAGAGCTCTAGCTATCACATTTATGTTCTGAGGTGTGGGTTAGAGAGGATGTGGGGGGTGTGGGAGCATTGGGGGTGGTGGAGAAGGAGAGGTGGACAAAGGACCAAAGACATGTCCAACTGTCCTTTAAAAAAAGATTCTTGGGAACCAGCAGATGGCATAATGGTTACATTACTGGATTCCCACATGGCCAATCGCAGTCCAAGTCCTGGAACCGGTGCCTTGGAACATGGCAGGTGTGCACACGTGTGCGTGTGCGTGTGTGTACCCAGAGTCCTGAGAGGAGTATAGAGGGATTGTGGCATGGCCATCCCCCTGGGGGTGGGGGGGTGACACTTTCTATCTCTGTCTCTCTGGTGAGTGCATGTGCCCTATAGCAAAAATCTCTCTCTCTAAAAAAAAAAAAAAGATTTCTGGAGGCTGCCATAGGATTCTGTACTCCTCTTGTAGTTCACTGGGCAGAACTTAGTCACATGACCACACTCAGCTGCCAGGGAGGTTGGGAAGTGTAGTGTCCATGCTGGGTGACCATGTGCCCAGCTGGGTGTACTATTCTGTGGAGGACGGGGAGGATGAAAATTGGTGGAAACTGGCTGTCTCTGCCCTAGCACGTCCGTCAGATGCCTGAGCACATCCAGCGAGCTGTGCCTGTCTCCCTCTGGCTGGCGTGAACTATTGAGAGAGACCCCCTCCTCTTCTGTCCACAGCTATGTCCTGCCCGCCATCCCTGGAGTACAACCACTGTGAACGTGGCTGTCCCCGGCACTGTGATGGCAATGCAAGCTCCTGTGGGGACCACCCCTCCGAAGGCTGCTTCTGCCCCCCGCACCAAGTCATGCTGGAAGGCAGCTGTGTCCCTGAGGAGGCCTGCACCCAGTGCGTGGGTGAGGATGGAGTCCGGCACCAGGTAGGGGCCTTGGCCGCTCACCTACTGTGGGACTGCTGTCCTCTGGGCTGGCTGGGAGAGGTGTCAACAGTGATCGCCCCCTTCCACCTTTGTCAGCAGGGTCTGCTCCTATGGGGCCGTTGAGCAGTGGGAAGGAAATATTGCATAATGGCTTTGGATTCAGTTGGATCTTGGTTCAAGTCCAGTTCTGTCATGGAGTAGTCATGGGATTAGACACCAAAGTGATACCACGTTATTAGCATTATTCTGTTCTTATTGAACTGTTGTAAGTAGAACGATATAGGGACCCAGAAGGGAAAGGGGAAAGAATATTTTATATGGTGGATGTCTGCTATACAGTAAGATATATGGTGTACTTTTATGGTGCTAAGCAGCATATGTTCATTGTTTTTCAAAGGTGTGTTTTGCTGGGAATTGACAGTTGCTTGTGTTCCTCTAGACATAAGTAGTTTTTAATTTTGATAGAATGTGCTTACTCGAGAGGCAGGGAGAGAGAGGGAAAGTGAGGGAGCACCCACCCCCCGGGAACGGTCACACTGCAGTCCTTTCTTCTCCATCGCTCCTCTTTTTAGGACTTTTGCATGCACGTGTGCCTGACATGTTTCTCAAGCCACTGTGTTCAGGACTTGAACCTCGTGCTTAGCCATTGGGATCCAGCAACCTCAGCCATCAGGCCACAGGCTGGCCCAAATGGGTTTCTTTATTGCAAGACCCTAGAGCTTTTAATGAACTAATGTACAGTACAAGTATTCATGAGGGATTTTGCTTTTCAAACTTATTAGACCACGAAGCTTGTGTTTGTGTATGCGGCATTCCTTTGGACAGAATATACTCGGTGTCCTGCATCTCTCATGAATACGCACAAGAACTTCCGGGGAAAATGAAGATTTAAATTAAGGTTAAAGCTTGCCCATGCACAGACACAGTTCCTGGTGATGGAACCGGAAGGAACTCGAAACCCCACACCCTGTCTGACACCAAAGATCGTATTCTTCCCACTCTATGAAACTGCGTTTGCTGCATATTTTTTGGGCTGATTTACTCGGGAGTCATAGAGTTATCAATTCTTTTAGCTCTTTAGAAGTTATCCTGGGCATTTTGAAAAGATATTTACCAAACTGCCTCATCTTGCCCTGAAATGGCAGCCCTATCTCTTCAGAGCTGATGTCATGTGTGTTTGAAGGGCGGGGCAGAGCACGTCCGTGTGCGTGTGGGACAGTGTGCGTGCCCTGTCCCTCATTCCAGCAGCCGTCCTGCAGAGTGCAGAGCATGGCCGAGGTGGGAGCGCATCTGGCTTCTAGCAAAGGAGACCGTGTGTCATGGCCGTGGGCTGTGCCAGACCCCACGTCGTGGCCACAGAGTGCCCTCATCACTAAGTGGACCAGCACAGGGGGCCTTCCCGCCTTATCTAACCACGTCGAGGGGAACTCGCGTAAAGCTAACTAACCAGTGTGGAGAGTAATGGAGACAATAGTCCAGTAGCTATTCTATCCTGGTCCTGCTCTTCTAAGCCTGGAAATGGGCAATTTCACTTGATTCTCCCCAAAGTGCTATAGGGTCACTTACAAGTCCTGTTCAGCGGATGAGGAGGAGGTTCCTGTGTTCCAGTGTCCTGGCTCCATCTGGTCTCCTTAGAGCTGTGTTCTCCTTAGAGCGTGAGCATGGGCATCTGCAGGGCTTGTGACTTGGATGGATCTCATCTGGTCCATCTGAATTGTTGGGGCTCGTCCTCGGGGTCCCGTCTGCTCTCACGGGGGAGTACATGCGTTAGGAGGGGCCCCGTCATTGCGCGTCCATGTTTCAGCCTGCCAGATGAAGTAATCTCCTGTGCTGTCGTCGTCCCCAGGGGAGCTGACGAGACCTCCCATTCCTCTCATTTGTGCAGCGTGGGCGCCTGCAGGGCTTGAACAGTGGGCACCACTTACCAGCCCCCAGTGGGCGAGTGCTTGCTCTCAGAGGGAGGCAGCGATGTCTCTACCCTCCTCCTGGGCATCTGCGGTGAGATGTAAGCTAGCTGGCAGTGTTTTTGGCTCTGTGAGTGTCAGACATCTGCAGGGTCTTGAAAGCAGGAAGTTGGGCACTTCATCTTTGTGTCTCCAACTCGCCACCACTTCGCTCCTCTCTCTCTGACCTGATTTCCCTCTTCACAGCTCCCCTCACCTGCAGCCCAACACGTTATGGTGCACATCTGAACTGTGTGAAGAATTCTACCCAATAGTACAATATTTTGGGCATAGAAACAATCTTATCAATAGACTTTAAAAATCAAAGTAACAAAACGAATTGAAAACTTCAAAGAGAATACAGCCAATTATGATTATTTCAGGAAAAAAGTCATTTAAGTGGGTGAAAACGATTATCTAGCCACCTGCATTTGCAACTTTTACTTTCAGAAAAGGAAGAATAAAAATCTGATAGGGAGAACATTTCCATTAAACTCATTTTTTAAAAAAAAGGTTTTGCCGTAGGATGCGTGAACTCGCTGGAGAGCCAGAGAGAGGGAAAGTGAGAAACCACATGCCTCAGTCCCTTTTCCTCCATTCCCCTCCTGGGATTTTGAGCACTCATGTACACGCGCCTGGCCCGATTTTCAACCCACCCGGTCTGAGACTTGAACTGCCATCGGCCATGTGGGAGTGTGCTTGGCCAAGTGGAAGTCCAGCCCCTAACCACTATACCACCTGCTGACCTCCTACTAAGTGTATTTTTTTTTAAATTTTTAAAAATTTAATTAATTAATTAATTAATTTTTTTGAGAGATTTTTGCTATAGGGCGCGTGCGCTCACCAGACAGAGAGAGACATTAGAGACAGAAAGCGAGAAATCACCCCCCCAGGGGCAATGGTCATGCTGCAATCCCTTCTCCTCCATTCTCCTCTCGGGATCTTGGGCACGCATGCACACGTGCCTGGTGTGAGTTTTAAGCCACCGGGTCTGGAACGCGAACTGCAGTCGACTACGTGGGAGTCCAGCAACATAGCCATTACGCCAACTGCTGGTTCCCCTAAATGCATTTTTTAAAGGCCAAAATATAAAGCCAAGAAAGCCTTTCACAGGAGATAAACCAGGGTATAAAATTATTGCAGTAACTTCAGAAGAGTGGAGTCCGTGCAGTTTCCCTAGCTCACGTTTATTTCACGAATGCACTCAGAGCTCACCGTACAGATGGGAGCCTTTGGTAGAAGGGACTGATGAGCCTGTGCAGGCTGTCCAGTGCCAACGCTGCTGGGGAGGACGCTGTGCCGGTCAGCCCTGCTTCAGCTCAGCCAGAACTGCGTCCCTTCTCGGAAGCCCAAGGCCAGTCCCGCCTTCCTCCTCTCTCCGTCTCTGCTGTCCGAGGGACAGACTCAGTGCTGACGATTCATCGGCAGCTTCCATCAATCCTCCAGCTATGGTAGGTGGTGGATAATCCCCTCTCTTGTCCCTTCTCCCACCTCGGACTTCGAAGATGTCAGTTTTCCTCTGTTGTGTTCTCTGTAGGCCCCTCTCCCTTATTTTTTCCTTTTAAAAAGCTTTATTGTGATGCAATTGGAATTCAGTACATTGCACACATCCAATGTAGATATCCGGGTGAGTTCTGACATATGCATACGTGTAGACTGTGAAGGCTAAACCAGTCCATCCCTATGGTGCCCTTTGTGAAATGCCAACACTAACTTACATTTTTTTTTAAAGAGAGATTTCTGCTATAGGGTGTGTGCACTTACCAGAGAGAGACAGAGAGAGACAAAGTGAGAAACCACCCCTTGGGGGGATGGCCACACTGCAGTCCCTTCTCTTCCATTCTTCCATGCACACATGCCTGACATGAGTTTCGAGCCACCGGGTCAGGGACTTGAACTGCAGTCGAACATATGGGAGTCCAATGCCTTAATCATGATGCCACCTGCTGGGCTCAACTTGAACATTTTAAAATTTAATCATTGCACATCTTTATAGTTTGCAACATATTTTTTCCCAGCATGTATGAGGCACATGCAAATCAAATGATAGATTTTGTCATATTACATCAACAGATAACTTTCCATTCTTATGTCTGTTAATTTTTTTTGTAGGCCTGCCTTTTCCCCCCTTTCTTTAATGTGAGCTCCAGCCTGGCTCCCGTCAAACAGCTAAGTCGTGCTGATTGTCCTTTGGACCCTGTAGGCTTGGGCCTATGCAGGAGCGCCATCTGCTGGCCAGTTGTGATGTAGCCCGCTCAGGCCGGTAGAGCTGCCCCTGACACTTTCAGAAGCTGGTGGGCCTCGTTACAACTTCCTGAGAAAATGAAAACCCCTATAGAAAGAGGTTGAGAACCTGCTTTTGGTCATTTACTGTGCTGCCCACTCTCAGGATGGTTGGAAAGTTGTATACTGTGTTTTCAAGTTTAGATATTTGAGGTCCGCGTTTAAAAAGAGAGAGGAAAAAAGGAGAAAATGTGACCCTTTCCTTTCATCACTTTCAATCCCCTGCCCAGCCCTCGGAGGCCAGCACCCTGTGCCCCTCCCCTGGGTCTTCCCAGCTCTGGACGAACCCTGGAGAGCTGCCCTGAGCCTTCTAGGGTGTCCTGTTCCTGGCCCTTTCCTCCTCCATCCCACTTGCTGACCCAGGCTCTTTGCTACTCTACACTCTTCCTGCAGAGGCAGAGTCCTGCTTACGAACCGCCCAGGCTGCTCCTTACCCCCGAGTTAAGTGTAGACTCCTAGGGGATGTGCAGGGCCTCTGTAATCGTCTTCAACCACCTGCCCCACCCACGATGCCCAGGTCACTCCCAGCCCATTCCT